AGTAAAACGTTCCAGCATAACATGGATTATTTTCCAGGATATTTGGTCATTTTAATCAATTTCCAGGTGTTTCCAGGACTAGACAACAAATCTTTAAATATCCAGATTTTCAAGGTTTTCCAGGATGCGTGGCAACCCTGAAACTACGGTGGCCCTTAGGGCTCGACACAATGCAACATAAACCTACTACAAGAAGTTTTTAACTGGTTATGAAACAGTCTGGATAGTTTCTTTAAACCTAACACAATTGTTTTCAGGCCAGGATGCAGCAACAGGGCCTTTGCAAAACAGAGACAGGAGACTGCAGATAGGATTCTGACTAAAATAGTCGGCCAATGGCAAAACCTACTTCCTGTGAGCCAGACTGAAGAATTAATAACCTCAAAATAATTAAAAAATTTAGAAAATATATGACTTTTATATATGACGATTTCAAATACCTAACTGCATTAATTTAAGGTTCCTATCACCAAAAACTAAATAGGAAGCATGTGATTCTCCTACTGAGTGAACAGTTGGAGTTTCAGTATCCTGTTCAAGGACATTTAGTCGGGACAACCGTCTGCTGAATCACTTGTCAGCTGGTGCAGAGATGACACCTGTGAACTGTTGGCTACCAACCAGCTGCCGCCACAGCCGCAGATCACACATTTAATAGGTGAGTGGACCGGCAGAACGGCGGTGCGGAGGGAACTGTTATATATTGCTAAGAGAGAAAAAAAATTTACCTTTCTCCACAGCCGTGAGGTAGGCCCTCTCCTCGGCAGACAGCTCCACCTCAGCCCGGACGATCTGAAGTGGGATGCGATCGCGGTACGGCGAGTATGTCGCCTACAACAAACAATGACAACACAAAAAAGTTGCACATACAGAACATGTAAGCCTGTAAAAAATACAAAAAGTTGCCTACAAAACTTTTTTAAAGCACAATTTTAGTTTTAATTTTGACTAAATCATTTGCAATAGTTGGTGTTCCCTTTTCACAAACAGTGACTCAGATATAAAATAGAATAAATCCATAAATGAGGAGGCTTTCCTGTAACTTCAGTGATTTTATTAAATCTGACAGGCTTGTTTAAATGTACAGACTGTCAGTTGCTAATGGGTTGTGTGATCTAGAAAAGAAAATAGTTTGATGTGACTTAGATGATAAGGTTTAGGACTTTTAAGCCAACGCATCAGCTGAAATAAAGAGTGTGTTCTGAAGCTATGATTACACTTTTATTACGTTAAGCTTCAGAGGAAATGAGTGGAGCTGCTTTAGCTTACAGCACATGTCCGCATACTTAATGAGTGAGGAGATTGCATCCAGAAACTGCACTGATAACGAGACGAGATGCGTCAGGGTGTGTGTGCGATTCAGCGGGTGATGATGATTGATCGATCACATTCACTTCTGCGTCACGGTAATTAATCAGGACAGCAGTGAAAGAGGCTTTCGAGACCCGGGACTGACACCGCCGTCCCCGGAGCCGCGTGGCTCAAACTGTAAATATTTGATTCTCACTGTTTGGTTTAGGGCTTCAACTGGATTAAAAGTCAAATAAATCGGCTGTTTGTTGATTTGCAAAAATGAAATTCTCGGTCGTATCTATGAAAGTTCACTCAGTGGTGGATGTTTGATTTTATAAGCCAACTCTTCAAAACAGTCATTTATCATCACATTAGAGCTGAGGCTCTCTGTGAGTCTTTTTTCCTCTTTGTATTATCTTTGTGAGGACCAGTGACTAGGCATGCAAGGATATGAACATTGTATTTTAAGATTATCTTGGCCAAAATAATTGTGATACACAATATTATCACAATATTCATGAAAATATACTTGGCATGACAACATTTTGGAATCACCTAACATTTTGTTAAGAAACACGTATATTTAATGCATGTATTTTGGAGTCTATACTATTTCTACACATCCTGATTAACTTTTGTTTGGAGGGGATGCAACAGGCAGGAAAGATGTGGGCTGCCCTTTGTCTGCTTGTTCAAAATAAATCAGGAAATAAATATAGGACTGTTAGCTAGTGAGCTGGACAGCTTTATCCAGTCAAGCTATGTGAGGATATTCACGATTATCACGAAATGGAAATTATCATTGTGTGTTTTTTATTGCGATACGTGATATTGTATATCGTCCCAATCCCTACAAAGGAGAGTTTTAGACCTTTACAGAGGACGTTTTACATTGTCAAAGGGCTGTGTGAGTGTTAATGACATTGTCTGTGTGTGTGTTTGACTCACCTTCTTGTAGTACAACTGTGTCATGGGATTCATCTGGCCAGCCTGGAAGAAAGGAAGGCAGACGTGAGAGTTACTACGGAGGACCAGGAGGAGGAATATCAACAGTACTGCAATAAATAGAAGTGGATGAAGTACAGACTCATTAGAAAGAAAGATTAAACATCTCACAGAGTCATGAGAGAGAAAGAACACAACGAAACAGAGCGACGTTTGCATCAAAGGAATCAAATCTGAACACACAGACAACACGGTTTTTATAGATTGTGTGATTTACGCTATCTCAAATTAACATCATCAAATCCGTTTAAAAACCACAGAAAAAAGATGGTCCTCATAACTGCAGAACTTGCCTGACAACCATCATTTTATAATTAAGTAATAGTTGTCTGTAAATCTTTGGGCACATTGCAAACAGGAACTGCTAACAGCTAATTCGGTTTACTTGTGATGCTGCCAATTTACAAATTCAGGCTACAAGAACAGGGCTGACGTTGCAGCACAGAGCTATAGCTGCTGATGATTTGAGCTCTGCCGAGATCTTAATGCAATGGAAGTAGTCTTGTGATGGTAAAAGAATCAAATATTACATTAAAAAAAAAACTTCACAGAAACAACAACACTGTAAGTCATCATAATAACCTCACCTCACTGAGGACAATGTTTTTTTTACTTTTAGAGGGAAATAGTTCCTCGTGAAAACTGCTCACACTGTGTTCTGTGAAGTATCTTAACTTGCACATTGCCGTTTCGATTTTTCTTTTTCCAGTGCTGCACATAAAAAAACACCAGGAGGTAGAGATCCCAGCAGCGGCAGCAGCAGAGATCTCAGAACCACAGCAAATAAAACTGAACCTGTCTGCATGGCTTCATACCACTATGGGGTGAGTGAACAACTTTCTATTATTATTTAGACCAAAATAACATTTTCGGACGTCTAAAACAAAGTTTAAGACTT